CCTAAACCCTAAACCCTAGTTCTAAAAGGCCTCTATATCATGACTGACCAGCTTCCACGGGCTTCCTTGGTCCACCTCTTCTTCTTGGTCGAAGCCTGTAGAACTATAGATCAACGTACCCATAGGCCCTAAAGTAGTGCCTTTTTTGTGTTCATACATAGAATCAAATAATGTAACCCCAAAGAGGAACTACTATGGGGCCTATGGGTAGTATGAGGGCTACGTAATCAAATTTCACTATAACATAACCCAAAGCCCTAGTGCACCTATTTTTAAAAAACCGTAAACCCTAAGCCTTAAACCCTAAACCATGCAAAGGCCTCGTTTCCGAAAGCCGCTGCTTCTGCTTGCCTTCCCCTAGACTCACGCCTGTAACAGTAAAGAAGAAAACCCTGAAGCCCCAAAGCCGCAAAACGACACAGACCGCCTAAACTATAGCATACCCATGAAGACCCTAAACCCTGAATTCTAAACCCTAAACTACACCGTACTCACGCAGGGCTTAAGATCCACAGCGCTGAAGAACTTTGCACTCCCAAAGCCCGGCAGAAGCCTTCTCCTCACCGAGCCTTGTAAAGCCCCTAAAACCCCAGAGCGCAAGACCCTAAACCCCAAACCAACAAGGTAAACATCCCTGATGTAGGGGCCTACATAGTTACATACTGTTTTGGGGGGTTCCTTATTATATAACTATAGTAAAATATCACCTAAAACCCTTTATTAAGGCCCCTATATTAAACCCAAACCCCACATTTGAACCATCAAGCCCCGGCAAGCCTTTCTCTCGCACTTTAGCTGTACGCCCTTCAGCCGGTTTAGGGTTGAGGGCGTAGGGTCCTCCCGCCCTGAAGACAAACACCCAAACCCAAACCGAAATGCCCAACAATAACCCCAAAAGAACTCTACAAAAACCCTCAAAAAACCCTAAACCCTAAACCCTATTTCCGAAGCAGGGCTTTGGGTTTAGGGTGCCATGCCGCCGTCACCTGAGCCCGTCAGAATCGCCATCGATCTAGGCCGTCCCGATCTCTGCGTTTAGGGTTCAGACCAAGCAAGCTCTGAGTAGCAGGAATACTAGAAAACCAGGTTCTTTACAAAGATGGCTAGATTTTCAGGGTTTTATAGACCACTATTCCTTAATTGAGCGGGTGGTGGGCTTCTGGGGAGTGATGCTAGGGATCCGCCACTGCACTTATCCATTTGTCCCTCTATCCATCTCCATCTGTGTGTGTGTATACGTACAAAATTACAAACGGATAGATAAAGTATACTATTCCCCAAATAGCGATTGTGTTTGTTAAGTCCCGAAATTGCATTGTTTAGCAGTGTTTAGCCTATTCTACTAGGGCTTCTTTAGTTTGGGGTCCCTCAAGGGGGTCTTTTGTAAGGCAAGTACCGCATTGTTTTGGGGACGTCAAAAGGACCCCATCACCGACAATGTAGGGTTTGAAGACGTTTGAGGTTTAGGGTTTGGGGTCTGTAGTGGTTGCAGATGCCGCGCTGGTAGCAACAAAAGCTCCAGTAGCAGTAGTAGGAACACTGTTCAGGACACTTACAACACCGAACTGAGACCGGCGAGGAACCCGAAGCCCTATCCCAAAACAGCCTGATTTTGGGGGCGATCAAGCCTACAGGAAGCTTGTCGCGTGTAGGGCTTGCGTAGCGTCGGTGTTCCTTTTCCTTTCCGTGGTTGCTGAGAGCTTTGAGGTTGACTGTTCAAAGTTTCGAGTGAACATCAACCCGAGTCTTTTGACCCTGAACCCTGAGGGTCCAAGTACCTAATAATCGCATCCTCTCGCAAATAGTAACCCACATAAGTACTATCCGAAACCTAAGTACCTAAGTGTTGGGTCCTTTGGACCCTTAGGCCAAAACCCAAAGCCAATGTGCGTTTTCGTGTTGCAAAGCTCTTGCAGTGCCAGGGGCGAGCTCGACACGGCTAGGCGATGCCAGCCGGCCGATGCCGCAGAAGGTGGATGGCGTGCGGGGTTAGGGCTTTAGGGTTGCGCTGGGGGTTTAGGTTTGTGGGGCTTTTAAGGTTTAGGGGCAGATCGGCAGACAGTTCCTTTCTTGGCGTTAGGCGGAAGCTTTGCTACAAATTCGGGGGTGACAGCAAGACCTAAACCCTAAACCCTTAACCCTAAACCAAGCAAGACCTATAGTAACCTGAAGCCTGCGGACTGTCGTTGCCTGCGACAGGTGCTACCTGCGACAGCATTGAGTGCCTTGGGCATGCAGAGGTTTAGGGTTTAGGGTTTAGGGGTATTGAATGAATATATATATATATATATAATTATATATATACACATATATTTATATATATACACATGTTTGATTATGTATTTAATGTATTGCTTTGGGGAACTGTGCCGATGCCAACTTACATTGGGAGCGCTGAGCACGACTGGCCATCATCGTTGCCAACCTCAGCACTGGTGAAGGCACAGTCACACACGTGATGAAAGAGCGACGATGGAAAGACCAGAGGTGATCAGAGCCAGATGTAAGCGGCATACTCATCGCAAAATCTTGAGAGCAAGAAGAGCAGATGGGCATGCTCATATCCAAGTGGGTGTCACATTCATGGTTCGAGACGGCCTCAGACATTTCTTTTGCAGTTCTATCTGCTGCTAACCCCGAACCCAAATCCCAAATCCCTAAACCCTAAACCCTAAACCCTAAACCCTAAACCCCTAACCCTAAACCCACGACCCTAGGCCGAGGCCCTGCACCCTGGAACATCGACCAAACACTCTATCGAACCTTAGGCTACCATCACGGAGCTCAGCAAGCTGGGTCTACGCTGGAGCCGGAAGCCTTTGAGGTGCACCACTGTTTTTTTTGGGTTTAGGGTTTAGGGTTTATATGGGCTTTAGGGCCCGGACGACCACATAAACAGAAGGATCTATCAAGGCGTTAGGGTGTTGGGCTAAGGCTTTGCATATGAGGGCCCCGTAGCTCGCAGTCTCATCTCAAGATTCCTAGAGTCCCAAGATGTAGTCTAAGGCATGATCAAGATTGGGGTGGGGCTCCTGTTTTGTTTTGGCCCCTTCCATGTTTAAATTACCCCCCCCCCTTTCAGCAATGCTAGGATGCCGTGTGCATTATCCCCCCCAGCCCCCCGGCCCTCGGCATTTCTTTTCAGCCCCCTGGCCTATGTTTTTTGGCCCCAGCACAGTGGATTCTGACCGGAAATGTTTTTTTTTCCTACCCCTGTGGACCCCAAAGTATTGCAAAGCATGTCTTGATTGCTGCCCTTTCCCCCTACGGCATAAGGCTATGCTCCGTCCAAAGGCACGCACGAGTTGTACCCACCAAAAATGAATGTAAAACATGTCTTGATCGCCCTTCCCCCCGCCACACTGCACAGGGCTGGTTATGCTGCGCCCTGGAAACCGTGTTCATGTTGACCCTGCCCCTTCCTCCCCGACAAAGGGCACCTTTTCGTGCAAGTTCCAGTCTCACCCCGGTATCTTGCTTCTTTGCTTTTGTGAACACCCACAAATGCATAACCGTTCTTGATTGCCAACCCCCCCTGGGACACCGAAAGGAACACAGGAAACGTGTTTGGGAACCGTGTTTTTTATTGACCGCCCCGGCCCTTGGCCAAAGGCACCTTTTCGTGGAGCGTCGGCCTCCGAATGTTGCTTTTCTGCACCCCCCCCTCCCCCGAAACCCTAAACCCTAAACCCTAAACGAAGTCCAAACACATGTTGAAAGGCTAAGCCCTAAACCCTAAACCCCT